TGTATTCTATTCCTTCAGGACATGCGTGGTTATGGCCCTCTTCAACTTCCAGTCTTTTGTTGTTTTAATTAACTTTTGACTCTTAACATCCCTATTGGTTGCTAATTTCAGTCATTTGGAATTTTAAGTAATGAATATTTAAAGAAAAAAAATTCCAATGGAAATCTTAACATGTCTGCAGACTTGGAAAAAAATTCTTGCTTTTATTCTTTGAATAATTGAGAATCAAAATTCAATTAATTCAAATGGGTTGCAAATAAAATAAATAAAAACAATCTTGTAGTTTGGTGAATACCAATATTTAAATGCTCGCAATATTCAATTAAGCTTTGAATTTAAGTTAGAAAAGAAATTCATACAACTTAGCCAAATTTGTTTCAACATAGACTCAATCAGTTCCTTCAGGATTCCATATATTCTGATTAACACCATCTCAAAAGTTGTGAGCTTCATAAATTAATTGAAAATTAATTAAAAACTGATTAAAAATATAAAGGAACATTTTACATTAGAAAGTTTAAAATTGCTTAAATGTAAAATTAAATAAAAACAGAATCAAAGAGAATACAAGAAAGAAACATTAAAGAATGAACTTTGACTACCATACAACATATGTATATCTGGTTTAACTAATTTATAAAATCTTTGGGTAAATGGGGACAAATCCAAAAGCAATGTTATTTTTACAGTTATCCATGAAAGAGCAACAATCATTGGAAAAATATATTTAAAATATGTAGGGAAATCTAATAGAAAAAATGTAACTAAATATTATATTATATTATATATAAGTTATTGATCCTAACAAATACCTGAGATTTCATCTATTACAAGAAATCGAAGACCTAATCTAATTCATAGAAAAAATTCAGAATTTCAAAATTCTGACCTATGTTATTTTTTACAAAGATCAGAATGTTGTTTATGAATTCTCAAGTCCTTTGGGAGATCTTCAACATGAACAATCAACAACCAACATTAAATTCTTACACTGTCTACACATGCAACACACTCTCTTGTGGTTACAATGTTCACTTTCCAACCATTTGACACCTTTGGAAAGAGCTTGAAAACCATAACACATTGACCCAAGCCTTGTGAGTGAAATTAGGTTGACAGAACTATTTGAGAGCCTTTGATGGTTGTGCTAGCATGAAGTTACAAGTCATTGTGACCAAGGATTTGAGCATGCTGGCCTTGTTCAGGATGATGATCATGCCAGGTAAACATACTCTCTCTCTCTCCCAGAAACTGTAACTAAGGTCCACTCAGCAGAGTTGCAGTATAAACTACAGGTGGGCTCTGTGGGACAAACACAAATGTGCCTGAGCATATGACTGCAACAGGGACTGGCTAGCCACCCAAGTAGACAGGCATCCTCAGATACAAGGGGCCAGCGATAAGACTGCTTTTGTATCATCCTCATATTTGTTATGTTACTATAGATATTACAAAAGCAAATGGAAGTTTTTAAATATTTTTAAGATTAAGTCTTATCTTCAACTTTCTGTCATAACAAAACCATTTACAGTGAATTTCTCTCTCTACATGCTTTTTGTACTTGCATTATCACTATATATGTGATTAGTAGAGTGAATGAAAGTCTCAATGGATTTGTTTGATAAATCCTATCTCCATGATGTCAAGGTTTATAACTGTCAAGTAATAACAATAAATATGTAATGAGGAAAACAAAAAGAGAAAGAAGTATTTATTTTACTTATGATTATTACTTATAAGTATCATTCATTCAACTCAAATGTAATCATGATTTTCTACAGTTTCCTTTTTCTTTTAATATCTGTAAAGAGTACATTGTCTAGACAGGTTGCCAACCAGTCTCCTATGATATTTAACTTAGACGTTGAAGAGAAGAGAGGTATTGATGCCTTCTCCAAGGACATAGTATGCAGTGAACACAAACTGACAGAATCTGATTTCCAAGAATAGAGGGAAGGTATGTATATTTTACTTACGATTATTTACCTAAGAGTCATATTCCGTCAAGTTAAAGGTATTATAGCTCTCCACAATTTCCTTTCTCTTTTAATATCTGTGCATTGCCTTGTTTGCTAGTGAGAAAGGTTTCCTGTTGCTTTTTTCTGTTTTGTATTAAGAGATATCTTCTTTGTCTGTTAGCCAAGAATGTTCTATTTAACCCATAGGTAGGGTGAAGTGAGGTATTCATTTTTCTCACTGATGTGATGTGACTTCCCTCTACCTTTTCTACAAATATTTTCATGGTAACTTAAAAAAAAGTTTCCTCCTTGTTGCCTTGACTGCATGAATTTAAGTGAGCTACTAGATTGTTAATACCTGCATTTAACTGTTGAAGTAGCTAGATGTGATCATATATTCTATCCTAACAGTCTCTGTTTGCGCCTGTAAAACTCTCTTGCAATTACATACTTACAATCATCAAAAATTTAAACATAATGCAAAACCATCTTCTGTCCACCTGAAACCTTTTTTGTTGTCATTTCTCCTTCTCATTCTCTTTTACTCCCAGTAACCACTTGTGTCTTAGTGGCATTATCGCCTTTCTTGGGGTGAAATGATTAAAAAACATTGGTATTATACTTTAGTGACTTTTAATGCCAAGTAAGTTCACTTTGATGACCTGCACACTTTGTTGTATAGATTGCAAGTGAAATCAGACTGGACATTATAGTTAGTGACTGTGTAGTTGTGGTGATGTGTGTGACTAATCAAGCCAGCCTTTGAAAGGCATATCCACCAAGATTTTTCACAGACAAGTGTCTTTTTAGCATCTTTTCCTGGGAGATGGCTTACGTACTCCATGTAGGGAGCAGCCTGTTTTAGCTCTACATATTAAATCCTGCCTTTCTCAAAGTTGTTACTGTCAGTCATCATTAATTTGTTTACATCCATACATGCACACACATCTTATAGAATTAATTTTTGACAAGTAATTCAACTTAATATTTAGTTGCTTTTAATTGCACCTACTAAGACCAGTAAATAGTGTGGATAAGAAATAAATAATAAACATTTTACAAAACTCAAACTTACATCCCTAATGTCTTTAGAAGCCTGTTTTTCCAGGACAGCTGTTCTATCAAATAGGCTACAACAGCTCTTCCAGATGATAAAATATCAAATCTAATCATTTAAAATTATTCATTCTTCCTTGTTCACATTGCACCATATAATGGTAATGTTAATGGTAATATTAACTGTTTCCTTATAAGGAAACATTTGTCATTCACTGAGCAGCTTGTGCTAGTTTCAGCTGAAATTTATAAAAAATTTTTTTCAATTTTTCAGGAAAATAGGTTTCACAAGTATGAGGTGCTAAGAAATTCTTTACATAACTAAAAACAGATTACAGAAAAAGTAAGTTTTTTTTGTTTTTTTTTAATTGGTATCACCCCAAACAAGGCAGTACAGCCATTAGCATGCAAGGAGTTACAGGGTGTGGAGGAATTAGGAATAAAAACATCAGTAATAAGGAAAAAGATGAAAGAGCAATCAGAATGATAATAGATAGCAATTGACATTGCATTTAAACTTTTGCAGATTAAAGTTGGCTGTGATAAGTGCGAGATAAGAAACTGTTAGCATGAGATCTCGCCACCAGTCTAGTATTGCACTTAAATTCATGCACTCTAGGTAGCATAGCGAAGAGCTCATCAGAACAATTACCATAAAAATATTTATAAAAAGGGCACAGAGAAGTAACATTACGGTGGTAGACAAGTGACTGAAACTGAGCTGCCAGATCAGGACCAATAATATTGCTGATTCTTCTTTGGATCTTATCAAGGAGCTCAAGGCAAATAGCAGGGGTACCGGACCATATATGGCTGCAATAGTTTAAGCATGGATGAATGGTTCACTTATAGATATGCAAGATAGATTCAGGGGAGAAAAATTATCTCATCAGACACAGTGAACAGACTTTCTTAGCAATTGATCTAGCAAGGGATTCAATGTAGTCTTTCTATCTCATGTCAGCTGAGAACATTAACCCCAGAAGGTGCAATGAATCACTTTCTTGGAGGATAGCATCAGCCATGCTGATGGAAGGCAGAAGAAGGGTCTGTCAGATGATTATCAAATTTGTCTTTAAAATGATTGTACAATGTAATTTCAAATGACTTGGAAAGTGTTTTATGTTAGAAAAGAAAAAGTATGAAATCATGGAAATTAAAATCTGGATGAGCTTCAACTTTTTAATACTAAATCACATTTTTTCAAGACTGGTTTCTGAATAATCTTCCAAATTATTGGTTTTAAGATGCAATGAGATTTATTTATTTTTGATTATAACTTGCTAACAGAAATTTAAAATGTCTGATTAAGTCAACAAATATGAGTTAATTAAGTTTTGTTGTTGAAAGTCATTTTAAAAGAAGAAAAAACAATTTTAATACACTCAACATATTTTCTTAGAATTCTTTTTAATTTGAGTTTCAAATCTACAATGTATTTTCTTTTTATTTATTTTCTATGTCTGAAAAAGAAAATGACATACTTCTAACAACTCTAAAAGAGTTAAGAGCATCCATAAGTAGGTGATTTTTTTTCATCTTTTACTAAAGTTTTTGATGCAATGCATAGGAACTTTTTGTATAGCAATATAAAATATATTTTAATGAGGATGGTTTGTAAGCATAAAAACTGAATTTTTCCTTCTATCTGTTAAGGTTAGAAAGAGTTTTTTCTTCAAATCACAATTTAAGTATGGGGAACAGTTATAACTTGTCAGGCAAAAGTGATATTTAAAACTTTCACTGCTGCATTCTTATAGTATTGTTGTCTGGCTGTACTGGCCCATTTTGGAAAAACAGGAAATTGCCATGACTGATACCATAAAGATAGTAATGTCAATTTCTCATGGGTGCCATTATACGGGTTTCATTCAGAATGCATTGCAGAATAAGAAAAACAACATATTTAACAAACAATGAAAATCTCTTACAAAACAAGTTATATTGTACTATGTCTCCCCTATTTCGAAAATAACACTAAGCTTATGGTCAAATCCTGTTGGAACACCAGTTCCAATACAATCATTGAAGTTAAGCAATGTCAAGCCTGGTCAGTACCTAGATGGGTGACCACTTGAGAATACCAGGTACTGTAAGCTTGGATTTGTGGATGGTGTAATGAATAATAGCTGGGAATTGTTAATCAGAGAGCCAAGTTCCAATTCCTGTTGGGTTAATTATATTTACTTATGTGCAAATACCCTTGGGAAAGGTATTAATCTATCTCTTCTCCCTCAGCTATGAGTTAAATTAGTAAAATTTGTATCACTAAACCATTATTATCTCAAAAGAAATTCTTACAATTTAAAAAAAATATTTCCTGGCTTTAAATAATCTGCAAACGTTTGATAAGCTGTAAAAAAATGAATCAACCAACTAAGCACTAGTTAAAATGTAACTCAAATTAGGGACTGACATTCTACAGTGTCTTAAAAATATATAGATGTAAACAACAGGCAATATAAATTTAATAAAGACTAAATTTTTTTGCTGATAATCATCATGCCACTGGCATCATTCATTTGCATTAGAATAAACTTGAAACTTAAGAAAACTTCCACATATATATTCCATCATTACCAAATAGAACCTGGATTTTCACCTATCATGATGAAAAAGTTATTTTTACAAGGTGGCGCCTTGTCTTCAACACCTATTGTGACTGAGGTTTACCCCAGACTTCAAATGGAACTCATATATATGATCCATCACTAAAGAACCTGGAAAAATGGTTGTTTTGTCATACTGCCCCAGTACATATCCCACTCTTCTTGTTATGTTAGATCAAACCAAAAATGGAGTACTATTGCATCTGTACTGAAGGGTAACCAGTTCTCACTTTCCAGCCTTGATGAAGTTCAAAGGCATCTATACAGCCCTTTGAGTGATGAATCACTTTCCACTTTCGCACAAATGAAACACTGCAAGCCTCTTATGACTATCATTCTTTACAAGGTAAATACTCTGGCATGCTACATTCATTAGTTCTACCGAGAGTGGTGGGGCATCCTACCAGTTTGAACTGATTCTTAAAATTATAAAATCTTGGTGAACAAGTTATCTGAAAATAATCTAATATATTAATAACTGATATATAATAGCTAAAAATATAACTAATATCACTGCTGTAAGTTCTTAAAGAGGGTTTTCTATGATGAACATAATTTATTCAGACAAAAGAAATTGTGTTGAAATTAAAAATGTGGCAAATCTTCTAGTCATAAATTTGATAGGTCTTCTACTGGATCTTTGGGACTGCAGAAATTCAGTTTGAATGTGGCTAAGAAACCATAACACAGCTAATGACACTAAAGTCAAAAAGTATCATACTTATGAACAGAATTTCAGTCTGGAAATATCTTAATAAATGTTTTCTATTAAATTATCAAAATGGTTTAATTCTTTGATGCTATAAAGTAATCTGTTTCCTTTTTCAGGTTGGAAAGAAAATAAGCAGAATAGGTTCCTAAACATTACCTGCCTTTATAGAACTGGTTCCTGGAAATTTGGGATACCATTATTGGTTCTGCCAGTTCACAGGTAAGACCTGCAATGCCACATCCATTAGGATGAGTCATCTCCATTCTCTTTGTATTCCATTACTTATATTCATACAACTTCATTCAGTAGCCATCCTCTTTAAGTGGCTCTTGGGCCTTGTGAGCACTTAATAAAAGAATAAAAAGAATAGCTTTAAGAGTTTGATATTGAGGGATGCCAGGAAGAATGCATTGAATTAAACATATCTCCATTGACTTTTCTAGCAAAGAAGATTCATTTTTTTCCCTTGAAGGAAGCATTTTGTAGTTTCTCTTTGGTTTATGCCAATTCCCAAGATAACAACTCATATATTTTGAGACCATCAAAAAGTGAAACTTACAAAGTGTTTATTTCTGGGGGTTGACTGTGGATAACTGAAATTGCAGATGAAAGAAGAGTGGATAAACATAGTTCAAATTAATTTCTAACATTCTAACTTATTTATTCTTTATGAAACTTTTATCCTTAGATTCTAAAGTTGAGAGAATAAGATTCCAGCTACAACGAATGTTATCAAATGAGGACAGAACTAATGAATGACAATCCTTATTTCAAATGTCACAAAAGAATTCTATTTATATTAGAATTGTTAAGATGAAAACTTTTCTAACAAATACAAAAAGGTCAATGTTGGCAAATTATCTTTGATGTAAGAATGGAATTCCCAAAAGAGACATTGAAGTTTAGAATTTGAGAAGAATCATTAAGATTCTAAATTTTCATTTTGGACAGACTCTCTTATGTTTTTGACATTAACAATGTTTTTGGATTGAGTCTTTCTCAAGATGCTTAATCTGTATGACAAACAGAGAAAATAGCAGCAGAAAAGAGGTGGTTAATAATACACCTAACAGATTAGTTCATTTCAGCAGCTGTAAGTACACAGATTTTTGCTAGACCACTCTAAAACTGCTACTTATACCATTTAACCCAGTACTACCTGCCACATGTTTGGGGCATTGATGATTGATCCAGTTCCCCCACCAGGCTTTTTCTGGTGAGGAGGATTAAAAAACAAAACCTGTCAAAGTGTGTATGAACCTTCCTATAGGTTGATAGGAAGAAACAAGGTTCATGTAGCACAATGGGGTAGACTGGGCTCATAGCTAAGTACACAACCAGTGCAGTGTTAACATGGCATGGCTGGGTGGAGAGCTTCCGAGACTGATGTCACAAGCCAGAGTGAAGTGTTATAATTGTTGTATTTTGAAGTAGATATGATATTTGTAAATATATTCAGTTGATTTATCTTGCTACTGAAGATGGAGTTACTTCTATGAAACTCGGGCCAGCAGATAATTTTCTGAAGTTTTATTCAATTGTGTGTGCGTGTGTGTGTGAAAAAAAAATTGATTTTTTTTCTTCTTTTCTCATGAATTATGTACATGAAGAAGGTTGAAGAAAGGCTTGGCCCAAACATTGTTAGGAGCATAGAAAAAGAAAAAAAATAAGAAAAGAAAAAAAGAGAAAGAAAAAAAAGAAAGAAAAAAGAAAATACAAAAAAGAAAGGAAAAAGAAAACAAAAGGAAAAAGAATAAAGAAAAAAGAAAAAGAATAAAGGTAGGAAAAAGAAAAAGAAAGAATAAAGAAAAGTTCAATTATCTGAAGAAATATACAAGATACTGTTTAGTTGGCAACCAATAACAAAATTAAAGGGATTGGTTAAAACAAGGATGAAACTAACAATGCTTACAAAAAGTTTCTTCTAATATTAACAGAAAGCAAATCAACAACATTCATGTGAGCAGATAAAAAGAAAATCCTATAAATACTACTAGAACCATTTTCTTTCTCTTTAAAAAGTCACATGGACTTCAAAAATAGCTGATACAAATACTGATGTTATTTTTATTATGATAGAGAAACTGATACCTTCATCTCATTGGTAAAGCATCAATCACAAGGCAAATAAATCTAAGGATTCATCTCTGGTGTCACTCTCACAACGTTTGTAATAATACAGTCAATACCCCCCACTCCCCCCCCAAAAAAAACGAGAAATTATAATATCAAAGAACTTTTACTAAAAGAGGATCTGGAAATAAAAATAATACTATTTTATTATGAAATCAACTGCATGCAAATAGAAGTCATAAAGTGTGCACCAAATTGAAAGTTACAAGATATCTTATATTAGTAAAACCTGTCTTATGCCCTACAGGTCAGTGCTCTTCTTATAAGCTCTACTTGCCTGTTGATTTTGTAATAAAGTAGTATTTGTTATGTATTAACAAAACCTGTTTTATTATGAAATCAAGTACATGCAAGCAGGACATGAGATAGGTTTTACTAATACATAATAAATATTATTTTATTACAAGATCAATGTCTTGTAAGTTAAGATGGAGAGCACTGAATTAAAGGGCATGAAAGAAATTTCATAAAAGGAAGAACGGTGGCATAAAAGGTAAAATACAAACTTAAGTCACAAAAAATTGTTCTCAGAAATAACTAAAGGAAAAAGTTTGTTTTTTTAAACTGGAGTTAACCAAGTGATGTAAACAACCTTTTTCTGTATTTTCTTTCTAGGGATTTGAAGTCTAAATATCAAATGAATTAAAAGTGTATTAACATTCAGTAATTGGTTGGCTGTTTTGTCTACTGAAAATAAGAGTTTGTCCTGCAGGTGATTGAATTTTATAATTGAGCTGTCATTATTTACACTATTTACATTGTTTGGACTGTTGTCCTCATCTTTGTTGCAATATTCATGATGTTTCAGCGATTGTATGCTTCGGCCTGGATTGGAATTTCAAATTGAACCCTTTTATTTTGTTGATTGTTCTAGTTCCACATGCCATGCCACTCCTGGATATCTTAGTATCAGTTTTTCCCTTTAACTCAACTCTCCAAGTTATTGTTCACCTGTGCTGTAGCCAGGTATTGAACTCACAACACTTTCGGTCATAGGGAGAGCAGGACACAAGTTTTATCAATACATAATAAATATTATTTTATTACAAGATCAATCATTGGATTACTTCAACCAATGTTTTTTATCCACTGGGCCATGTGTCCTTGAGAACATCAGTTTATGAATTTTTGGGACTTATAAACCAAATGACTCAAAACCCATTTTTACCAGAGCTCAAATAATCATTTGTTGTTGTTATTATTATTGCATTTTTTCCTCTAATACTCTGTTTTACTGGTTCCCATATTGTATTCATGTCTATGCTTGGCCAGCATAGGAGATTTTTGTGGCCTCACATATGTGCTGATTCCCTAATTTTCATATTTTCCAGTGATTTTTTTCTATTATTTTAATCTCAACCCACAGAAGGTGGTGATCTCTCTTTTCCTTCCATATATGGTCAGCCATGACTGATTTTTCTATTTTACCTCATGTCATGACTTTACAGCATTTCTACAGTCTTATATTAAGGGGACAGCCTTCATATTTCTTACCACATTACCTTGCGATCGTATATACACACACACACAGTCATTAATCATGTTCTCCTCTATTGGGGGCGGGGGGTCCTACTTGAAAGAGGTGTCTGCAAAGTGTTGAACCACTTTTGAAGGTTGTCCTGATGTTACATGGATTACAGATC